CGCTCGAGAGCGTGAAGGGCAGGCCAGAAGGCACTACAGCACCGAGGACAGTGTAGAGCAGCAGCGTTACCCTGGCAGCAGTGAGGAGGAGAAGGAGGAAGTAGAACAGAAGCATCAGAGCAGTGATCAGATGGAAAATGAAGAGAAGAATATGGAGGAGGGGAGATATGCAGAGAGGGAAGAGTACAGAAGCCATCTCCCTGCAGAGAATGAGAAGAGAACCACAGCATCTTACAGCCCTTTCTACCCACTGCTGTGGTGGAAAAGCCGTCACTTTGAGAAAAGGGAAAGCGCAGGAGAGCAGCGTCTGGAGGGCAAAGGGGAAGGCAGGCCCACCCTGAATGAGAAGAGTCTTTTCCCTGAGTATAATGACTATGACTTGTGGGAGAAAAAGCAAATCCAAAGTGCTCTGAACCACGGACGCACCGAGAAGAGGAATCTTGGCAAAATGAACAGATACGATATGAAAAGGCAATACAAGATGGATCAACTTGCACAACTTCTGAATTACAGAAAGAAATCGTCTGAATTCCCAGAGTTGTACAGTTCAGGAGAAGACTTAAAAACCCATCACATAATCAGGAACAACAGAAGGAGTCTGAACCAGAGGCCGCTGACGGGAGAGGAGGTGTGTGCAGGTGCTTCTCTGAAAAGCTTGGGGAAGGTGACTTCACAGGCACATTTCTAAGTCCATTCCCAAGGCAGCTGGTAAACTATGTGTGGAAAAACACAAAACAAGATTAAGTCACATTGAAAGTCAGATCTTCCATGATTTAAAAATCTGCTTTGAATGAATTCAGAGGAACTAGCCCAGGGCAGTTTGTAAAATAAAGACAGTGTGCATTTTTGTTAGCTTCTGTCTGCTCCAGGATGGGAAGAGAAAGGAGATTTTCTTCCTCTTTGGGGTCTCTCTCTAGGGTCTTATAGACTAATAAACCAAAGCTGCCTGCTGCAGCAGGACCAGAGGGGTAATTAGCAAGCAGCACTTGGTCTGTCAGGTGGTTTAAAATGTGCAGTTGAAAAGTAAGTTGGACATTTAGAGTGAAATTCAGCTGTCCCAGCTGTAATTGTAGAGTAGAACCTGGCTTGCACTTGCAAGCCTGATGTGTGCATGTAGTTTCCATTGTATGTGAATCCTTTTCTTGTTCAGACTTCCTCTTTTGCTTCGGGGTCCCAGAAAACCAAGTCTACACCCAGCAGCCCAGTGCTGCTTATGTACGTCGCTGTATCTGTTGCACAAAGCCAGGCTGGGAGCAGTGCAGCTTTAATACTAATTTATAGAGAGGTTAAACGGTGTTAGTAAGTCATCATAATAAACAAGAACTGGCTGCGTAAGGATTTTTTTTTCCCCCCTAGCATCTGGTGATGTGGAGGTGTTCCTCTTCTACTGTGCGGGCTGTGTGTCATCAGCCTGAACCACTGTGACCGTGAGGTTGTAGCTTCCTAAGGGACCATCCCCTGGGCAGAAGCAACTGCATGCTGCAGGGTACGGCAGCTGTGAGATACCAGGAGGTTGCAACTAGGTAATGGTGCCTAGAGGCAAAAAAGATTGAACTGTAATTAAGACCAGCTCTCAGAATATACTTTCCCCTGCCCTAATTCCGTTAAAATGGCAAAAATCCCTGCTGTGCTGCTCTCAACATCCCTCACCCCAGCCCAGGGACCAGTAAGTAGCAGGTGACGTCTGCCTCAGAAACAGTCTCTCTTTTTCATGGACCAAAACATTTGCCAATGTTATTTGATGTGTAAAACGCTCTTATGTTTTCACAGGAAAAAGAACTGGAAAACCTGGCTGCTATGGATTTGGAGCTGCAGAAAATAGCTGAGAAGTTCAATGACAACAGGAGAGGCTGAAGACAATCTGCTTTGGTGTTTCAAAGCTAGGTGTAGCTGTCCTCACAATACCTGTTTTTTGTGGTAAATTCACTGCCACTGGATTGTTGTTTGTCCTAAAACCAGGAAATACTATTTACTGTCCACTATAGTGTAGTGATTTATACAGCTGAAAATGTCTTTAATTTGCAATTATGCTATTGAGATCTGAATAGCATGAATTTTAGTATTATAACCTTTCATGGCAGGCAGATATTTTAATATGCTTGTGAAAAGAATTGTGTTAGTGTTCTTTAAAAAATATATTTGTCTGAGTTTGAAATAATAAAAACCATTGATCTTGGACCAAACTTTCTCCTTGCTTATTTGACTGACTGGGTTTCAAAGTAAACTGTCTCAGATAGTGTACAAAATGCTGACTTGTGGTTCACCAATATTTTTTAAAAGTCAGAAGGAGCCTATCTGTGCCTTTTATTTGCAAGTTAGCAAGAGCATGGGAGGTAAGAAGGAATGCCAATTCACTCCAGTAACTCAGAAATGTCCTGTGAATGATTTAGTTCTGGAAATCAGTCATTAAGGAAGCAAAGAAGTTGCAACACCAAATGGATGCTTGTTAATTTGGAAAGCATGTGGTGGTCAGAATCAATGCATTAAGCAGTGCATTGGTTTTGCCACTTCCTCAGACTAATTAGTCCCATTAATTTAATTGCCCCCAGAAGGTGCTTTGCTAATGTGTTCTTCCTGCTAAGAAGCGTCCCAGCGCCTGTGCACTGTGTTGGAGCGGGGCTGGTCAGACACAGGGCGAGTTTGGTGGCACCCAGTGAGCTGAGGGCAGGATGGGCTCCGTGTAACGGAGCCATTTTTTTACAACACTACGAAGCAATAAAAGAAACAGTCCTGCAATTAGTTTCAATTACTCCAAATAATCTGGGGTTCAATTTAATTTAACTTACCCAACTGTGTGTTTTACAGACTTTCTGCTGTGACAGTGTCTTTGGACACCTGTGTAACACCACACAGAGAGAGGTGCTATGCAAAGAATTCAGCTGAGTCATGTTATCAGTAAATGCGCAGTATCTATCATCTCCACTTAACCCATTTAATCCATCTCACTAAAGCACAAACATACTCTCTGATTAACTGCAAGACAACACAAACTGGAAATATTCAGTGCACTGCTGATCCTTGAAGTGTGCAAGCATGTCTGTGGCGATGGATTTTGGTAAAGACCATTGTGATGTTTCATCTTGTTCAGTTAAGGTACATGAAGGCTGAATCCTGGCTCAAAAAAGTCAACAGAATTTTGACTTCAGTAGGACTGTGGTTTCACCAGACTTTTCCAGCAACAGTAAGGAAAGTTAGAAAGTATCCCAGCTGCAGAAATACTTTGCTGTCTTCAAATTGAGAATCTCCCTTTTAAAATTTACAATACCATACAGTAAGTATTGCAGCACAGTATTTTTCCCCCAGCTGGTACAAGAGAAAGCATGTCTGTGAGTCTAAATACCTAGAAGGAAATAGTTTGAGTTCTGGCACAAGAAAACTTTCTAAATTGCTTAAGAATGCAAATTAAGTAATGATTTTTTTCAAAAAAGGCGATGCTTATGCAAAGATGCATTCATGAATCAGCAATGTTTTGCTTAAAAACATGCCTCTTGAAAGCTTTTAAAAGCAAGTATCATCCACAAGCTTTGTGACAGCCCTTTTACCTGCCGCCTTATGTTCTGCTTGTGCCGCTCTGCGGGGCCGATGCCACGAGCACCAAGGGCCAGGCAGCTGTTCTCATGGCTCCTACCTCTTCTGTTTTTATCTACACATTTGCATTGCTTGTTCCAAGATGTTTTTAAACAGCCCCACAGTACAACTTACTTAAATTAATTTGCATTACTTAAAGGAAAATGGCATGGTTTTGGCATTGAAGCTAGGTGGTAAGATTTAAAACAAGCATTGGTGTATTAAGATGCATAACCTTGTGCCAAGACATCAAATGAAGCAGAAATGGTGGGTTTGGCAGCTGAAAAAGTGTCGTCTCGCTTCTGGCTCGTGCAGATGGTAAATTTCATGTGTAGTTTTAGGAAAACACAGGAGTGGAAAACTTGGTAACTACTTATTTCTTCTGTTATTTTGAGCGTATTTCCATAGCGAAGGCAGTGGTATGTTCTGCTCTGTGACCAAAAGTAGGAATAAAACCAGGTGCCCCTGCCAGTTCAGGTGCAGCGCTGCCTCCACCGCCCAGGCACAGGGTGTCTGTCAGAGCTGCACAGGCTGTTGAGAGGCTGCTGGTGGCTGAGGATGGACTTTGCCAACTGCCAGGGAAGGCTGAAGTTCCTCCAAGGCCAAACAGCACCCGCATCTCCTCTGTCCCCCTCACCGGGCAGGTTTCAAGCTTGGATGGTCACTTTAGGAGGCACAACCATGGGCCCTCACTGCCAGAGCGCAGAAGAACAATAGCTCTTTTCCGGTGGAAGTGGCCCGTTTGAAGCTGTAGGCAAAGTTTTTTAAGAAGTGCCTACAAAATTTCCTTGGTGCAGCAAATCTGACTGCGTGCTGGAACTGTCCATCAGAACCAGGCTGTCCGCTGTGTCTGAGGGGTGGCTTCTGCACAGTTCCAGGGTCTGAATGTTAATCCTGCCTTAAGGATCCCACCTCTGGTGTAACAGCCACTATATTTCCCTATACCTTATCTACACATCACTGACCAAAATTAAGTTATGCCCATTGTTATGTTATATACTTCTGGAGATAAAAAGTCCTTGGACATTCTGCTTTGAGGCTCCAGTGATTACCAGGTTCCCTCTTTAGGAAGAGTAAATCCAGGCATCCAAGTATCACCTTCCCCTTCCTCATCCCCCTCTGTCTTTTCTTAGAGCTGCTTTTCATTACATCTGTTATTTTCAAATTAAGATCTCACAGAGTGCACTCCCATTCTTGTTTGTTCTGTTTTCCTTAAGTTGTTACTTGTAAAAAGATAAAGGCTTCCTAGAGTTTCAGGCAATCATAATTTGCATTCCAACAAAGCTTTTCTCATTAGTCTTTCGAGTTTCATTTATTCACGTGTTTCAATTAAAATAGGAACTATTACATAATGTTCCAAAAATTTGAAACATCAATAATTCTAAATATTTTTAGAATTTAAGGATTTTAAGAATTATTTCTAGGTTTTTTTACTATCTTTCATTGGTGCAAGCATTATGGCGCATTTAAAAACCAGGGAACATGATTCAGTCTCAGTGTTAATGCTAGTGAAACAAAGCCAGTTTGGCTTTGAAGTGATTTTTCAGGAGTTCCACTACCGTTTATTTCTCAAAACTGATCTTTTTATTATACAAATAAACCAGATTTTTTTCCTCAATTATTATTTTTAGCACATTATGTATGATAAAAAGTATGATTTCATATGAACGTTGGTCGCTTAACCTAAACTTTACTGGTTTTACACCTCTGTAGCACTAAAAATATGAAAGCTGTATACCTGCCAGCTCAGTGGAAGTGGCAGAGAAGTACCTATGCCCGCTTTACAGGTAAGAAAACTGAAACAAAAGGTAATTTTTTGGAACTAATCTCCTGTCTTACACCATTTCATAATTTTCTTGCCTTTCCCTACCTTCCAAGCTCCTATCCACTGCTTTAAGCTAGGTCATTTCAGCATTTAATCAAATACAAGTCCCAGTCTACTGCAGGTGCATATAGTAAAGGAAAACTGATCTTCCCTCCCCACCTTTTTCCCACTAGTTCCTGACAGAAGTTGAGAAATCCAGAATCTAAAAAAAAACCTTCATAAAAACCACATTTATATTCCTTACAAGTGCTTTGAAACACACGGTACAGAAGGCCAGAGGGCCAAAGCAAATTTTTCATATCCACATGGCTGGTGGAATAGAGAGGAGATGGTGAAACCTACCATCTCTGCACTGGTGGGTTTTTCATATAAGAAAGGAAAAGCTTTCCATAAAAATAGGGGAAAAAAAAAAAAATGATGTAAGTTTACAAAAACCAAAACAGAGGTAGACAAAATCTCGAAGAAATCTTATACCTGTTCACTAAGGTTATTTACACAAAATATAACCTGTTTTGTTCTGAGCTAATGCTTTCCTAAAAGAATGTTATTCTTGTCGATGTACAGAATGTTACAGCTTTGTGAGTTTGACTACCTGATCCCAAAGCTCCAGATTCTGCCTGATGAGTAAGTTCAGTAATGGAAGGCATGTTCTGGTGCCTCTACGAGCTGCTCTGTGGGCCTAAAGCTCCCCACTGTGGGTTCAATGGGGTGCGGCCAGTAAGGCTACTCTCCTCCTAAAGCCTCTGCTAGACCTTCTGAGTTCCAGAAGGAGGAAAGAGTAAGAAAAATAAAATCTCATTAGGAAAAACATCCTGCAGTTTAATCAAAATGGCAAATGCAAAGTTAAAAAAAAAAAAATATGTCATGAAAGATAAACAGTAGAATAAATATATATACACAGAGCGGTTTTCAAAATAGTCATATCTTAAAATAAAAACATATAGCAACTCTCAGGAAGATGATGGGCAATACTAATAGAGACATTGTCTAAATATTTGGTATTTTGATTTATGAATATGCACTTTCTCTTCTGTATGCATTTCAGGAAAACATGGGGTCGTGCTGCAAAGTTCCAGTATTAGTATTCTCTCTTTATTGTTCCTTTGGAAAGAAAGATGGATTATTTTTGCTGTTCATTCCACTTCCTTCAGTTACCGAACACAGCCGGGTTCTGGGTCCAGAGGGAGCAGATCACTCTGTAGAACGTTTTACCCTGATACTGTTCTGGGAAAATGGGAAGCTAGCTTAGATGTCCTGATTTAGACTCAACCTTTTAAAAGATTACTTCATCATATCCAATTTTGGCAACAAACAAACAGAATGCCTTCACTGATGCTTTATCTTCTCTTCTTTTTAGAGCTAGTGTGTTTTCAGTGGGATGTTTGCTTCCAAGGATTTATATTCTCATTCTGATCATAGAAACTGGTACAGAGTGAGACAGTCCTCCCTACCGCATGGCTGCTGCTTTTTGCTGACAGGTGTATGACAGGTACAATTTCTGTGCTGTCAAGAGCGTGGAAGATTTACTTGTTATTTTACTAACAGTAAGACTCCTGAGATCTAAAAACCAAATCAATTCTTCAAATGTTAACAATGAAGGTCTTGAACTTTGCATCTTTTAGACGATGGCTCTTCCATCTTCAGTGCTTCTAAACTACTGGGATCAGCTTTGCCCTTATCCAGGACAACAGTTATACCAGACAGAAGGTACCCTCCTCCTCCGCTCACAGTCAGTTTTGGATGGCTTCGATCTGGTAAGACCTTTAAAAAAACAAAATACAAACCAAACAAAAACCTAAGCATCTGTAAAAACTCACGCTATACGTGCACATTAAATTGTGTAATTTAAGGTTACAGTATGTCATTGTTTCTTCCAGCCACTACAACAAACAGCCATTTGAAAAGTGTATTTATTTTTAAAGTATCTGTGTACCAGAAACCTGTTCTAGAAATACATAAGAATACAGACTACTGCCTTATTTTCTGATTACTACTTCTTACTACTGATTACTTCTTCATGGCATTTCTAGCAAAATTATAAAGTCAAGGTTTGGGATACATGAAAGTCTCATTAATGTGTTCAGAACTGGTGTACTTTGCATGAAACCAGTTGGTCTAACAAAACAGTATTAATACAGTAATTTTTCACTTCCATCACTCTAAACTTTACATAACTACCCTCAAGGTAGGACACAGCAATGAGCCACCACTTTCAGCTACACTATACTTTTCTGTAAACGCTTTCTCCTCAGCTGTGCGGCTCCTTGCTCTGACTGCCACCACAGCTCTGAGCCGATTTCCGCGTGTTCAGGAGATAGTGCAGTATTGTTCCAACCTGGACACAGTAACCCTTGCCAAGCCTAACTCACGTCAACGCCTTCATCTATGAATCTCCTAATCGTTCCAAATCTGGTTTCCTGATCAATAGTCAGTAATTATGTCCATCCCTGAATTATGTCATCCCCTAAATAACAATTCCTTATGAACTCCAGAAGCCTACAGGCAAGGAGAAAGTTAGTAAAATGCAAGAACCTCTTCAGAGGTGGTGAGCTGCTCAGAAATCACACATGCTTCTGCCTCTCCACAGTTGAGAGGCTGTTGCACCATTTTCAAACATCTTGTTCAAAGTCAGCCAAACAGACATTTTTCTCTGTGGAGATGTTTTTCTCTCTCATCTGGTTTTTATTGTTCAGTTCCCAGACTGGAAACTTCTTGTTACTTTAATTTCAGAAAACAGGTTGTTTGAAGACACTGATTTTGTAAGGCACCACCATTCTTAACATTACAAATTTTTTTTCAGCTATCAACCATCAGAAATGAATAAACACTTGTAATATTTTGCTATGTCTCTCTTACGCAACATTGTCCCTTACTTTAGGCCACCTAGCCACTAAAGCAGCACAACAATTAAATCTGTCAGTGTGCTACAAATATTTCAGCAAATGTTTAAATGAAGTGCTTAGTAAGAAAAAAATATTTTCATTTGTTTCATTTCAAGTTGTTGCAATGAAGCATTAAAACTCTTCAGAGTATTTTCTCACTGCTCTCAGGTATTAGGCTGTTTGGAAATTCATTTCCGTTTTGTAATGTGATTTTCATTGTATATGTTTCAGGAATAGTACCTTCTTGACTGGCGTAATGTTATGTATTTTTGAAAAGCTCACGTTATGAACTTTCACGCTGTATAATTAAATTATAATATAAACTGTGTTTCTGACAAATTTTGGAGGTTTGAAGTTCAGATGTCAAAACAGCAATTTCGACAGATCTACTTCTATGAGTTCAAACTTGGACGTAATGCAGCGCAAGCTGCTCAAAACATCAATGAGGTACATGGCCAGGGAAGTGTTAACGAACGGACAGTGTGACTTTGGTTCCAAAAATTTCGATGTGGCAATTTTGACCTTGAATATCAAGTAGGTCGCGGACGTTCTTCTGCTATTGACGATGATGAATTGAAGGCTCTGGTGGAAGCAGATACACACACAACTGTTCAAGAACTTGCAAAAGAACTCAGGGTAAGTGTATCAACTGTTTCTGTGCGTCTGAAGAAGACTGGAAAGTCGAAGAAGCTCGACAAATGGGTGCCGCATGAATTGAATGAGAATCACAGAAATCGCTGTTTTGAAGTGTTGTCAGCGCTTCTTTTCTGCAACCAGAACGACCCGTTTCTTGACCATATCGTGACATGCGACGAGAAATGGATACTCTATGATAACCAGCAACAATTGGCTCAGTGGTTGGACCATGGTGAAGCTCCGCAGCACTTCCCAAGGCTGAATCTGCACCAAAAGAAGGTCATGCTGACTGTCTGGTGGTCTGCTGCTGGTTTAATCCATCACAGCTTCCTGAATCCAGGTGAAATGATCACGGCGGCGATGTACGCCCAGCAAATCAATGAAATACACCAGAAACTTCAACAGCTGCGCCCAGCACTGGTCAACAGAAAGGGTCCAATCCTTCTCCATGATAACACACGGCCACACGTTGCACTTTTGATGCTGCAACGGTTGAACGAGCTGGGCTACAAAACTCTGCCTCATCCACTGTACTCACCAGACCTCTCGCCCACCGACTATCACTTTTTCAAGCATCTCGGCAGCTTCCTGTGCAGGAGACACTTCAGAAACCAAGGGGAGGCCGAAACTGCCTTTGATAACTTCACTGCCTCCAGAAGTCCAGAATTTTATGCAACCGGAATAAATACGCTTGTTTCTCATTGGCAAAAAATGTGTTATTTCGATTAATAAATTTTATTCTGAGCTAAGATATGCCACTTCAAACATACAGGTTGAAATTGGCAATTAATTTCTGAACAACCTGATAAAACAAATGCATGAGCTTACAGTTTCAGTCAGTCCAAAAAACAATTTTCAGAGACTGTTTCACTCCCTAGTATTCATGCAGGTTGATAGTCACTTACTGGAATCCTCACCTGATAGTTTCGTAGCCACGTTTCAGACAGCTTTAGGTTAATAACACCGCCTCTTTCTCTCAGCTTTGTGTAACATTCTAATAATGGCTTAAAAAAAACCAAAAGAGTAGGTTATACAGCAGAATAGTCTCAAACTTGAACTATAACAGCTAATGTAACATACTTGATTTACCTCTTTATACTGGCAGTAGACAACAAAAGGCCTTGAAGGAGCAACAAATTCCAATAAAGAAAGTAATAAAGGAGTGGGATGAAACTTGCTGGCTACAATTAAGCTGCAAAATAAATTTCATGCACGTTACTTTTCTGCTTCCAAAACCTATTCATCAAGTGATGTTTCCTCCTACTTAGCAGAGCAATCAATTATAGATTAAATGTTGCTAATCACCATGTTTTCATGGCTCTAATAACTCCCCAAATAAAAAAAACCAAATCACGATTTCCTACTTGCATAATTAAGAGGATAAAACACTTGTTCCCTAAAGTGCAGTATATTAAATGTGTTGCAGAAGTGCTCATTTAAGCCACTGAGCTCCACAATAATTCTTATGACCCAAGAATTTCCATGCTGCTTTCTCTACCCTAAGACCATTGTCCAAATGTCATTTAAATTTTGTGACTGCTAATTGTTGCTTAGAATGTAATCTCAGTCGTGATTCTTTAGACTGGGTGTTTTGCTGATTAAGGATACCAATTAAACTCAGACACCAGAGTGAACAGAGTAGGTGTATTCTACTGGCGATAACCAAATAATGTAACACTGTAATAGAGAAAACATGCAGTAAGAAAAGGCGGAATAATGCACCTAAAGCAACAAATAGGAAAATACAGGCTAATGCATCAAATCATTAGTACATGAGAGAGTGTGATTAAGAAGGATACATCACCACTTGCATGTTACCATCATCCAGACCCACAGTCACTGGGGAGCCCCGGTTACAGCGAGGATTTGGAGAGCCTGTCCCGGCAAGGGGGAAATCCTACGCGGTGCGTCCACTCGTAGGTGAGGCTTCCAAAGTCGCTGCAAGTGGGCCCAGCCTTATATACCAGAGATCAACAAGCCAGAATACCTGGCACCTTTGTTTTGAGCAGTCTCATTCTCCTGTTGGATTCCACCACTGGAATCCTGTTGGATTCCACCTGGCTAGGGCTTGGGGTGGGAGACCAAGGAAGTTTCTGACAAGGCCAAATATGTGGGTTCTCAGCCTTGAACAAGGCTAAACAAGGGAAGTTGGATACATTCTCTCAGCATTTCATCCTCACACTGTTTATATTCTAGGCCACATCTTTCACTAGCGAGCTTGCATACTTTGTTAATGATACAGACTAAGTTAGCAGCTTTGGCTTGGGGCCTGTTGTTCAGGCTTCAGTAATTCAATACTTTAGCACTTTTTACATCAGCAGTAGTGGGTTGTTATAACAGTACAGTACCTACTAGCACAATGGTTATCAGTTATAAAGTATACAGGATTCATCTCTAGGTCAACTCCAGCTTGGGTTTGTTGTCCAAGCCTTAGCACTTCGCTGGGCAATCTTCATTAGATACAGTTTTATATAAAAAAGTTATTATTTAATGATAAAACAATATAATGAGGATGACTAAAAATCTTTTAAGAAGAAATTATGTCCTTGCCAACTTAAAGACTTCATATTTTATTCTTCATCCTCATTTTAGTAACACATTGTAACTCATACTTACAAATGCTTAAGTTTCTCTACAGGTATCTAGAGTTTTAATCAAAAATATCACTGCTAAACTACACTGCAAGGAACGGTTATTCAATGGCTTAGTAAGTTGTACTTGTGCAGAAAGAATGGGCTAATTATAGTTAAACTACTTCTCGAGTATGTGGTTACTATATGAAAAGTTATTAATAAAGTCAGTTAATTAACATTTGTTCTCCAGGAGAAACGTACAGCACCAGAGATATCATGCAATTTATCTGACAGAAAGGAGATAAAAATTGATGTTCAATTTTCTAAACAGAGATAAAGAGGTGAGACAGTGTTTCTATTTCACTTTTCTGCTGGCCATGGCCTTCAGGGCTACAGATTTAACCCTAATTCTAAACTTCAAAAAAATTTGTGCTCAGTAATTAACCAAGTGGACAGTAAAGAAAAAAAGACTCCAGACTGTGCCTCAGAAGGCCTGGAACTGCCAGGAGCTCTGATGCTGCCAGGAGCTCTGCCAGACAACAGGAAGGTAAGTGAGAGATGAGAGAGGCTCTGAAAAACCAAATTCTGTTCTCTCATATGGCAGCAGGTATTGCTGTCAGCAGGTCATCTGGTCAGCTGCAAAAATAATGTAATGGCTGAGAGGGGAGAAGGAGGGGGTAGAAGAAGGGCAGAGAAGGGTTGAGAGAGGGGGTGTGGTCTAATCCTGAACACACAGAGTGTCTATAAACCCATATGTGCTTTCATCGTATCAGAAAAATGTAACGCTCTCTCTTTAGAATGTCTTCTAAAGAAGAATACTAAATCTCTAAGGACTGTCTTTCTTTTTTCCCCCTCAAAGACCTATGATAGAATTCAACTCAGAAATGGAGCTGAACAAATAAGTCTAGTAGAAGGATTGTTTTATCACATAACAGCACAGAAGACATAAATTTTATTTAAATTGTACCTTCTACATTAAGTAGTAAATATTATAAAATTCAGGACTTCAAGAATTGTCCTAAAGTTGGTGCCCATCTTTACCTAACAACCAGTGTTTCTTTACACTGACAGTACGCCCGAATCTTTGTCCCCACCTCCAGCGTTAACCAGCTTTCCCCTATCCTTTCCCCGCTTCTCTCTTGCAAAACAAAACAAAATCCTTACTTCCCTGCCTGCTTCTCCTCACATTCCAAGTCATTAGTTTGAAGCATTTCTTTATTCTGTGCCAATTCTTCCTGGCTTAGCAGTACATGGACCCTGTGGTTCTTGACCTAAACAGAGTGGGCTATAAAAGACAGACACCTACAGAAAGGTGATCCTGATTGAGCCACCTGGGACAGTTCTCTCGGACAACCATAAATTTCTCTCCCCGCCCATGCCAAAGACTTCCTAAAGCAAGGAATCACTCATCCCTTCAAGTATATAATTTGTTACAGCTTTCATGCATTACAAAAGACAAAAGAGGTATAAAAGTGATTGAAAACAAATGAACAAGAGACAAAGAATAAACAGGCTTCCTTCAACTCAAACTTAATCAACAACCAAATATACTGTTTTACACTACAGAAAGAATCAAGTCAAGTCAAATATTAATTTTCACTTTGCCAGACCATGCGCAGACATTAATTGTGGGTGCAGGGGACAGCAGCAAAGCCACCACAAACGCTACCACTGTTTAGGCAGCTTACTGGTCCTTCACAGGCATCGCCAGTGGTGATGCTGCTGCCCAAGAGATATGTGGTACTTTCACAAGCCTCCTTTAACATCACAATTCTACCACTTGAATATGCTAAACAAGTTAAAACATTTCATAAGAATAAAACCAGGAATTATATACAAGCATATAAACATAAACAATAAATGTGTATTAAAATTTATCCAAGGAGAAAAGCTTTATTCCCAATGAGAATTTATTCCGAGAATATTCCCATATTCTTATGAAGAAATTAATATTAATGTTAATAAATTAACTAAATCAATGTTACTTGATTAACTTAAATCACTTCAGCATTTGCTAAGAATGTCATGAAAAAGTGACAATCACCAAATGCTCTTACACTATTTTGGGGCTGAATTTCTAGGAATATTTTTATCATATTTGTTTTAGAGTTCTGATATTAGATCTTCACGTTAAATTGTTCATTGGGAACAACCAATCCTTGCTAAAGCAGGTAAAATGAAGTTATGTGGTTTTTCGTGTGTAAAAAATAAACGAGTTTCTAAAAACAAACCAACCAACCAAACCCCAGAACAACAAGCTTAGTTCCAATTTAATAAAACCTCATGTTCTACCTTGCCAATTAGAACAGTGTGATTTTTAGCAGCAGTCATTTTGTATTCAATTCTACCTGGATTGTGTTTCTCTAATAGATTTTGTTTTGGTAATGTTTACTCATAGCTAGTCAGAAAACTATGACTTAGATCATGAAATTTTAAACCATTTAACAGAAAAAAGCTCAACCAGATAAGAACCAAACAAGACCCAAGACTTACCTGGGTTGACTGCTCCCTTATAAATATTAAAAAAAACCCATGGCATTTTTAAAACAACCCTTTTATTTGTTTCAAAGGAAATTATTTTCTGTAGATGTGTTTTCAAACAGAAGACCTTTCTGACTACAAACTCACCCATCAGCATTCTTCTCTCTCAACAAAGCAGCAGTTTTTATTAGCTTTTTCCTTCTTTCCCATTGTTTTCTTTGCTTTTCCCGAACCTTTGAACAACAAAACAAATAGTTTGCACTTTTAACTAGTAATTATATATTGGATCATTATTGCATGGACTAAATTTTTGTTTTTTGAATCTCAGCTGGCTTAACATAAGACAAAAGACAACTTCCAGAGTTCCATTTTAACATGTGAATAAATTGTATTTAAGCACGTCTGATCTGATGGCAGAATTTTAAGTATATAGAAACTGTAAAACTTGAGTAGCCATAATACATATTCTTACATTTTCTTTATTTTCTTTTTCTTTGATCTCTTTAAATTCTGCATCATCAGCATTAATGTCCATTGTTTCTTGCTCTTCTGTTTGGTTGATCTCCATAGCTGCTTCAGTAGTCGATTCCTCTTCTGTTTCATGTAGGGAAGTCTGCTTCTCCTCCATCAACCCATTGATTTCGTCTTCTACCAGCACGTTATCTTCAGGTTCTGAAGGCAGAGTCTCTGTAGAAAATGTCCCAGAGAGGAGACTATCCACTTTGCTGAGAGGAAATTCATGAAGATTATCGAAAAAAGGTTTCGGAAATCCAAAACAACTGGTAGCAGCTCTAACAGGACCCCCTCCTGGATACATCTGAATAATGGATCCATAGCCTATGAGAGCAAAAGAATCAAAACCACTGGAAAGCCAGGATTTCTGCATACATTTATGAATAGGTAAGTAAATTGCCTGCTTTTAATCAAATTTAACAGGCTGCTGAAGTATGCCTCAAGGTAGAAAATCTTTATTGGAAGGACAAAAGTTACTGCAACTCAGAAGGACAAGGTAACTCAAAGATTATGCATCTATTAAACATGTATTTAGGATCAGCCCAAAATGTGTAAGTGGTGACAAACTGTTAGAAAAGCTAATTTAATTAAGGATTTAAAAGAAATATTTTCTACAGTATTTGTTACTTCTCACTATGGAGTGGTTTTGATAAAAAATAAGAGATAATTTAAATAGGCAGAGAATTCCCTCAATATGCAGACTGCCCTCTAAAGCAAGAGATGTCAGATGCTTAAATATACAAAAAAGAACTTTTCAGTAATTACATTGAAATTGCATCCTATTTAATTTACTTCAGAAAGTATCCCTACGGCCAAAAGTTGCTGAAACAAAACCTCTTTGTAGTGTAACTGCCTGTATGCTTCTTGGCCCACAGACAGCACATCTGGGTGCACAACATTACCTCACATTTCCTACCTTCCCACGCTTCTGAAATACAATTGTCACCTCTGTCCCGTGACTCTGAATGACTTAAAATGAAACTAATTAACTGGGTTTGAGAAATAAAGAACAAGTCAAACTTCTCCTAGAACCTGCTGAAGAAAATGTCATATACTACTTCTAAAATACACATTTTGCAGATGCTAAATCTCTGCCACAGTGATTGAGAGGAATGACAACATTTTCAGTGCTGAGGGCTGTCTGAATTCTGGTATTGTCATTCCTGATTTCTGCTGTTCATTCTCCTGGACTTCCCAGGTGCCTGGGAAGAATCTGCATGCAAGCTCCTTACAGCCTTTTCTAAACACAATGCCATTATGCCAAGAGAGAAACTAACACAGATCTACATACAGTGGTATCAACTTTAAATTTCATAGGGTTTTAAATAGTGAAAGACAAATCCAACTGAAATATGCAAAATATAACTTTCTCCAATGGAAAAACAAGTACCTCTTTGAATACTGGAGATGTTAAAAGTAGATTTTAAAAAACTGAGAAAGTATTTTGAGGTACTGCCTTTTAAAAATATCAGAGATGTGTATTTCTTAGGTTTCAAGTAAGCCCTCAGTCTGTACATGACCAAATCTATCAAGTTACTTACCTCCCATTCGCTCCATCATCGCACCCAACACAAGGCCTGCACATGTTTCCATGACAATCATCTTGCTGCCAGCACGGACGTTTCCTAAAGTCAGCATCTGAGCTAGGGTGTCATATCGCAAGTGGCTAGAAGACAGAGGGTTTTAAGAAATATCAAATTAGTTTATTGGAGTTAGACGTGATGCGTATTAGCTCAGGAGCCTGTCAAAAAAAGTCAGATTACAGGTAGATATCCAGGAACAGCATCAGTGGTCTGAGTCACCATATGGAAACTTATAATTTGCCATCTTGTAATAAAGAAGGACTAGAACCAGAGCCAAGAAGAAATTAACAGGGAATGGGTAGTTTTACAAAGAAAATAGCAAAAGTAGGGTACGAAGTAGGGAAGCACACATATCATGCTGTGCCAGTCAAAGTATTGTCTTGAACTTTTTTTTTTTTCCTTTCTCTGACATGTCAGTTTTGTAAAGAACAAATGGCATTTAAATGCATTCCTAATCCAGTAATGTATCCTTAGTGATCTTCATCTTTTCACAGCAGCACGTGCCACCTGCAACCCAAGATCAAAACCTAACTCTTGACTGCAATGCCTGCACTGAAACACTGAAAGGCAAAGAAATCTTAAGAGATAAATAAAGCCAAGCGAAGGAGATGGGGGAAAGAGAAGCAAAAAGCTTTGAGAAGCCTTACATAACATAAATTTGAGGTTTTCAAGTCTCAGCATCTTAGATCTACCATTACTACTTTAAAAATAATAAATCAGTCCATCTGAAGCAACACCTGTAACAAAGTATCATTTAATTCAAGTAAGTGAAAATCAAAGACGGCAAAATCTCTGTTCTCGTTGCCCCTCCACTCCTGCCCCTCAATGTTAACTACATGTTTTTAAGTTCTGGAGACTTCTGATTGAAGATGGTTGTGAAACCCTAACACATTAGAAATTCCTGTTTCTGCTAAGTGGCTTATTATTGTGATTACTATTGTGATTACTTTTGTGATTGTGATTACATGGGGATGACATGCCACTGACCAAAACCAGTAAGAGATACTTCGGAAAATGCAAAGGGCCTCTGTCAACATAGGTAATTAGCAAGATGGTGGTGGTAGGGAAATGGTAAAAGCTGATGCTGTGTGTAAAACAGTTTTCCTCTTTGCTGCAATAGCACACTGATTAATTTGCTATATCACATTATTTTTTATTAATTTGCAATCTTTCCATTAACAGAAAAAAAAAAGAACTGTGAGTACTATATCCTCTGTTATAATACTGGTATTTTGAAATATATTAAAATATCTTGCTGCTATAATTTGAAAAAAGAACCAAAATGAAAACTTACTTAATTTTTCCAGGCTCCCTTGCATAATACATTGTTGAAAGAATGCGAGTGGATGGTTTCACAATTGTAATAACTGCCTCGTATCTGTAAGAAACACACAGTAATAGTCTTAATTCAAGCTCAACAAATTAGAGAACTACTAAGTATTTTCCACATTTTAAAATTCACTTACTTCTTTTTCTTCTTCTTTATGTACTTATCTTGAGCAAATTCTGTTTTGTCTCTGAATGTTGTACTGTTCTCTATTAACTGTTGAACTATTTCCTTGGAAAAGAAAATTTGTTTTTATTATACACCTGGTATTTATTTCTCATTCATTTCATATACAGTATATTTTTAAACAACACTGAAAACACTTTCTTCTAGTAGAGGTTATCTATACCATTAACTTCTATTGACAAATAGAATGAAAAAGTAAATGTCTACTAATCAACATGAAAAACAAGGCACTGCCCTGACTATGTACAGGATTTTAATCACGTACTTCTGTCTCTAAGTGTTCTTTAGCTATGTAATGCCAGTGAAAAATGACAAAACTGAAAATTCTTATCCTGGAAACAGGGTATTTTGTGGGGAAAGAGTCAGGTAGGTGCAAGAACTAACTCCTAAGAGAGGGCAGACCCATATGGCCAGAAAAAAAGGCAAAAGCAGGATTGTTCCTTTCAGCATCAGCAAGTCATTACTTCAGCCCTCACTGTGAAGCCTCAGTATCTAAATATTCTTCTCCCATGCTGAATGTGAATGAGACTACCCTGCTTTCTAAGCGATTAGCTACTTTTAATTAACTCTGCCTCATTCTAAATACAGGGTATGTTTATTGTCAGTTATTATGGAACAACTGACATATATTCTGTCAGTCTAACATTCCCCATAGTAACTGGATTGCATGACAGTACAGTAAGTCCTCTGTGAAGCCATACAGGCAAAAATATTTTACAAAAAAAAACCCCAAGGAACCTGATATAATTTATAATATTGACTTTAATCCAACCTGATATAATTTATAATATTGACTTTAATCCAACTCCCTCTTCACTCTTTGGGTCACTTGACAGACATCAGCATTGCTGTCTCTGAGGGTGTCTTTTTTTTCATCTTGTGCTAGTTCCTCCCCTGTACTCTGGCTACTTATCAGACATCACCCTTACCCTACTTAATTTCGCCTGTCTCCCAAACTGTGCTAGACTCCAGTACCAGCCCCTTGCACCACATCAGACTCCTCGGTATTTCCTATAATACTCCCCCGACTTCTTCCTTCTCTAGCTCCCAGGTTTTCCCAGAATTCTAGGTTTTGCTTCCTGGTCTCCTTGTTCTAATCTCCTCCATTTGCCAATCCAACTCTTCCTCTGGGTTATTTGGTTGTTTTTCAGTAAAATTTACAGTGAGGACACTGGGTAATATTTCTCTAGGGTAAGCAAAAGCCAAAAGGAAACTGCAGCACTATGGGAGTACATGCCACTTCAGGTCTTCATCCCAACGCCTATCCCTCAGGACTTAGGAAGGATTTGGGAAGTAATGGGACATCAAACCTCATTAACACTGAGGTGGTTTTATTTCAAATAACCATCATCTTTAAGCTTGCATCACGAAGACATGCCACTCACAAACATGAGTTCAGATTTTACCAGACATCTATGGAAGAATAGTATCTACTGCTACTAATATAACACAGTTTAAAATGAATATTCAGCTACAGTTCAGAAACCAGAGTTAAGAATGTAGGATATTTTAATAATCTAAAATAAAAGTATGGTAGAGGTAGACATGCTGAGGACACACAGAAAAGCCAGAGTGATCTTCTGCCATGGATAATGAGAACAAATAGAAAATACTGAAGCTATCAGACAGATTAGTACGTTCTTTTCAAAGAGGTAACACGAGCAGCACAGGCATGGAAACAGAAGAAATACTGTTCTGAACTCCTTGGACCCGTCCCTTATTCAGCAGGCGAAAGCAGAATAGCTGCTCTGAAGAACAACAGCAAACGGTGAGATGCAAAGAGGAGATGAACTTGATGTAAGCATGAGCAATTTCTTCTTATTATTAGAAAGGATAAATCAAATATGAGAGAGTTTTGCCTGACAACATGTGCAGAACAGAACTGGCTGCAGTGGTTTAACATCTAAGATGGCCTCACTTCTTTTTGACAAAGTGCAGGGTGAAAACCAATCCCTTTTCTAACAGAACAGAATTGATCTCTTGAGAATATCCTTAGCTTTTGAGGTGCAGCTAAAACCCAGGCAGCACATGCATTTGTTAAGTACTGCCTAGAGGCACAGTGATAGTATGTCTGCTACATAGTGTTACTTGTTAATACTTTGGTGTTTACCCTTAATCCTTTGATAAACCTTTAATAGTTTAATTATTGCTCAGTTTCAATATGTCCGTATAGAGAAACAGCATTTTGAATCATAAACAAACAAAAATAAAAGGTGATTATATGAGCTGTATTTCCTTACGGTTTTAGTTTTTCTTTTTGTCTGTTATGACTTCTGATGTCGTAAAAATTCATACTTTACTCTCTATTGACAAAGTCGCCAACCTTACATGAAGTTTTCTCTGAAAATAGCCTTTGCATTTTTGTAAAAACAGATCTTTAGGAAAAGCATGACTTGAGCAGAAGAACAAAGAAAAAGCACGAAAGTCTACACATCGATAAAAAGAATAGTCTATTTCATAAACTCAAATATAACCATCAAGGTAGCACAGAAATGACACCAAAACCTTATTTTTACCTGTCCTTTAATACCCTTGTCCTTCAAAGCCTTTATGTCATCATGAGTCAGTTTCTGAGACTTTCCATCGTCAACTATGTTACGATTATCTGTACCTGCTTCTTTTGTTTCTAAAGGAAAAGGATATAGATTTGTAAAATCTAGCACTAAACATCTTTAAGTTGGAGAAACACATGATTTTAGTTTCACAGAAAGCAAACTTCTCGGGATTAAACCCACATGCTTCATGGCCTTGCAAAGTATTGCCGAAGCAATCAGTGAAATGCAATATGTAAAATACACCTTAGTATATATAGATTCACCCAAACTGAAGTGCACATTTTCTCCCATATTAAAAGTATTACTTGTTACAGGGCTAGTGAAACAGCAGATCAAGACAGAACCATGCACTTTTATGACAGAAAGATGTTAAATTAACAAATGATTAATAGAAAGCTCTTCCATCATCTTTGCTATTATCAAAGAAACAAATTAATTGGAACTCGGTTTTCCAACCACCAGTCAATCCTCCGCAATACCTGTGGTAGTCTCTTCTACCTCTTGCTTTGGCTGAAGGTTTCCCCCACTGGTTACTTCAAATGTAGTTCCATAAATATGTCCAATGGCATTATCCAGATAGAACCACTGCTTCTCAAAAATAATTTTTCTGAAATAATAAAAAAGTTAATTATATTAAAAGCATTGTTTCTACTATGTGTGAAACCCACAATAGCTGAAACTAAACTATAGCTTCATAGATGCCATTTTTATCTGTATCCTTGAAGAAAACCAGGACAAGTATAAAAAGTTAAATTAACCACAAAACCACATTAAACTGAAACTGGTTAGGAGAAGAACAAAGAACTTAAACTGAGCATAGAGTAAGAAAAATAATTTTTTTTCAGTTCAAAAGAATTCTAAATTGGCAGATGAAAAAGGCTACAGCATGTGAATTATATTGTGTGATTTTTGACAGGTAAAGTCAGAACAAGGCAAGGAAATAAATTAATCTAAAGTATATGAAATCTAGGCTGGCTCATGCAGATTAGTGCAAAAAGATGAGCATGAACCTGTATTTTGCAGAGCTCCTTTGAAATAACATTTACCAAAAAACTATGAAGAAAACAGACAGTAGAGTGACTTGGAATCCTAGAAATGTTTAATACAAGAAAAAATAAACAAACAAAAGATTTTATTTTCCCTTTCAGTTTGATTGCACTAAAGGAGGTTTGCATTTTTTTTTCTTCGCACAAAACAGGATCCAAAAAGCCTTTAACTTTCAGGATGACCTACAAAGGTTTCCTTGCCAACCAGAAAAATACTGATCTTGTCAAACGAAACAAGTACCAGTGTATATGCCACACTCACATTTGAATCAAAACTTACCAATATAAGCTCTTATTATGCTTATTATACTCATCACTAATTCTGAAGCTAAACAAAAAGGTTGAGTTTTTATTTAATTTTCTACTGACTGAAATACGCAATCCATGCATATATTTTACATATGGTATTATTTGTACCCCCAAATACAATCCAGAATTTAAATAAAGCATAAGAATAAAGCTCCATCAGAGACATTACCACATCCTCTTAATAAAAAATTAACATTATACTTGCTCACATAAAGTCTATTAATCCTTGCCAACCGAGATTTTTAAAAACTAATAAATGATTATAAAAGACTTGAAATGACTGAAAAGAATTTTGGATAGAAAAATGTGTGTATGTGTTGAAATTTCATTTCAATGACCATTTTTAAACAGAATACCCAAACACATATTGTCACACGTTCTTGGAGTGCTCTTACTCTCACCAGATTATAGCAAAGTAAAAATTAAGGTGAAAGTTATTTAACTTCCTGTGAGAATATTTGCTCTTTGATGTTTTTATTCTTTCTTTATAGTAGGAGTTTTAAACAAAAACTTAAGAGGGATCTAATGAGAGGTCTTGGTGGTGCTCTGCAGGCTAACAAAGTGACGACCTGATTTTGGTGCCAGATTCTACTGGTGAACATCAAGCCTGTCAATAACCAGTACTCCCACAATCCTAGGTCGGAGCTATGCCATTTTTAAACCAGTCTCATTCGATCATTGTACCTTTAAATCTCCATGCTATTGAATCAGGTGTCTGGCCACATTACCCAAGACTGACTTCTACACATTGGTCTATAAAATTGTCTGCTCAATAGGAAGAGCCCAGGCTGTGTCCACTGATTACAGTAACTCCTGCTGGGGTGCAGGCGCTTCTTGCTACGCCAGTGAGCCTAGGAAAAAGAAATAGGAGACCTTTCATAGCATCTTCTCCAAACTACAAACTATCCAGCACTGACAGCATCTTCCTACAGTCTAACACCGATGAGAACACTGAGGCCAATCCCTATAAACAAATCAGCGCTGCATCTCGCAGAAATTAGATGCCACAGCGAGATAAATATAATGAAAATACGCTTTTCAGGCTGCTGCACCTCTTCAGTCGGCACTGGTTCGACAATGACAACACAAAACCATCTTGAAGATCTTCCAACTTCTTACAAAAAAAGCAGCTAGGAAATTTTCCGGGGGTTTTTTGTTTTGATGGTTTGGGTTTGGGTTTTTTTTTTTGGTCATAGGAACACAGCATTAAAATCTTTCACGCTGCCTGTCCCCCATGGGCCTAACGAGGCCGTTATTTCTGACCCCCTTTCCCTCAGACGGGGCCGCGCGACGACCGTGGGAGCCGCCTCACTGGTAGGGGGGAGGGGAAAGCGCCAACCCCGACTGAGGGAGAGCTGACACGCGAGATCGAAAAGCCCCGCGGCGCCCCTCACCTCCGCCGCAGCACAGGCACCGCTTTGAAGACATCATCCCGCTTCAGGACGGCGAAATCCCCCTCACAAATGCGGGAGCCCGAGCACACGCCGTCCCCCATGCCCG